CGAGACAAACCTAGACGACCAGTGAATTCTGACGGACTAAATCAGGGCCCATTCATCGGCTCCCGTAACGGGACGCAAACAGAATTGAGATAAATAATAACAACCTAGTGCTACTGCGACAAATTCATTACATGAATATTGCAATCTCACGACAACGCGTACCATAACAATTGAAACCATTAGGGGATAAACAAGCTAAATGCAGTTTCCTATATGCAGGCCAAATATATCTAGCATTCACAAACGAAACTCATTCACATCTTTAAAATATTTGGTGAATCACATTGCAATTGTGAATGGGGTTCTCACACATTTAGACTCTTTCGGGCACTAGTATGACACGCGAAACAAACGCTTGACCATTCCATTCACATTCCACAGTTTCATAGGAAACAACCATGTCATATCATATCATATATGATATCTACCAACGCGCCTAAATAAACGATGCCTTATAAATCAAATTATTATAAAAAAAATGAATGGTTGAGTGATCCAACCTTTTCTGAGAAACTTCCTTCATAACCATTCGACTTTGGAAGTTGAGCACATTACTAGCCCCCTATGAATTCCGCAAGCATCGCCAAGGAAAATAAAATCTGCATCACAATGGCGAGTGCGGCTCCCAGCAAATGTCAAGGGGCCTCATCAGCTTTCCATCAATGTTGGTGCGACACCAGATATCGTCAAACTAAATCAACTGATTTTCTTCGCAGAACACTAACGCCTGCTGGTTAGCATAACGATGATAGCGGCTTCCAAGACTGTGAGCCAAACCGCCGAGCTAAACATATCAGACGAATTCCAGGAAAATAATTGAACATATTTCCACAGTTGGAGGCAGTTCAAGCAGATGCCATACAGAATACCAGATCGTTGTCCACAGTTGGAAATAGAGGACCGAACTGCGTACATCACAAAGACAGTACTATGAAATGACATAAATGGGAGTACGCTGTCCTCAACTTTTCAGTACCATTACATGATGAGTAAAAACAGCTTGGGCACGTGGCAGATCTGGTTCTCGGTGAATGCTGAGGTTAGGATGTGTGATTACTTTAAAGGGACCCTCCCACCTTAACATTAGTTTTGAGTTGAGATAGCCAAGTTTGCGGCCAGGCTCAGAAACCACCATTTATCCTGGTCGCAACCCCCGCAGCTTTATGGTGTTCAAGAAATTTCTTCCCTTTACTTGCAGGGTGGGACCAGCGTGGTCCCTATCTCTTAACCATTACGGGAATCTGATGACGTCATCAGGCTTTCGAACGTCCGTTAAATGTTTGACTAAAACGTTTTGTAGCACGCGGTGGTATAGGCTGCTTTGCGCGCAACAAATGCCGCACTTTCAAATAAAGTCGCTAGGAACAGCGGATATCCCAAAAAGTAAACAAAAGTAAAAGTCTAATATCTTGAAAACCGGTGAATATTTTTCAATGAAATTTGGTAGATATTCGTTTTTGCTCTTTCTGAACCGAGCGACATCACTTTCATGCCAATTCATTAACTTTTTTGAAGGTGGGAGGGTCCCTTTAACATCATCTTTTAGCATAAAGGCCGGGCTCCACTACGCGTTTTTTTACGCGCGTTTTATCCGAGACATCGGTTTTTGCGTGAAATCGGTTTTGCAATTTGTCGGTTTTTGCGTGATATCGTTTTTTGCTTGTCATCCTGAAGCACGTGACATTATTGTTGTCATTAAACCCAGGCTCCACTACGCGGAAAATCACACTTTGTTTATTTTGAGCCTATAAAGAAGGTGTTTTGCAAGTAGGAACATTTAATAAAAAGTAAGCCAAACTTTTATAAAATAGTGTCTTACACATGTTGCTAGCCTTGCACCTATGATAAACTTGCTTAAATACATAACTTGTTTCATAGCTAGCCACTGGTGGCTGAAGAGGGCAAGGGATTTTTTATTCTTAACCCTATTCCTGGCGGGGGGGGCCTCAGGAGCCCCCCCCCCCCTGAGGTTTTTTGGTTATATCTCCCAAACGCGTTGAGCTAGGAAGCTCAAATTTTCTGACTTTTCCTAAAAGGCTTCTACGCAACATGTCTGAAAATTTTGAGTTGATCTGACCTCAGGTCAGGTCACCAGAGGCGGTTTGGTGACGCTACCTCAGAAAAGTTTGCAATCACGCCAGAGCTAGAGTTTTTGACCGATCAATTTCTTCTCTTCAGGGTTTAGTTAGGGTACCAGTATGTGCAATTTGTATATCTCGGAATTTTGATATCGGTGACCTAAGGTCAGGTCAATTTCGCGACCTCCCCATTATAAGTCAATGGGGGAAAAATCAACTCCCTGTTTTTACCACTAAAACGGGTCGGAATGGCCCCATATACCATACATGACTTCATATACGATCAACCTTCACTACCTTGAGGTCTGTTTTGCTGTTGGGCAGCTGTGAGGTCATGTGACGTCATCAAAGGTCACCAAAGGTTTTTGGCCAATAACTCCGTACAGGAACAAGATACAGACGCGTGAATGGTCTCATTGTGTTCAGCTCGTCAAGACGCATCGAATGATATACATGATGACCTCGAGGTCACGTGACCTGAGGTCAACCTTTGACCTTGACCTTTCGAGGTCAACATATATATCATTCGATGCGGATTGACGAGAGGATCACGATGATGCCCTTAGTTTGTTCCTATCTTGACTAATTCGAAAGTTATTCGAGAAAAACTCTCTCCATATCTAGCGCCGCCATTTTGACTTTTTCGACCCCTGTGACGTCATCTTTGACCTGACCTGAAAATGACCTTAGTAAAAATTGTAGATCTTGGCCGTGCGTATCCGATGCCGTTTACCGCTTGTCGCTATCTTGCTTCGTTCTCGAGATCTCAGGGGGGGGGGCCGAATCGGCCCCCCGCCAGTTTCTTGTCCCGGCGGAGCCCGCCAGGAATAGGGTTAACATTCCGCCTACCATGCAACAGACTGGAAAACATCCATACACTAGCTGGACGCCCGTGAGACCCTCATGCGCCGAAACTCGACACAAGCAATTTTGAGCTGAAATTTCTGCATCACTTACCATGAAAGTTGGGCGTCTATTTGTGCCGAAATAATCCACTTTTACATAAAGCGCGTGTGCACTGTGCACATCATTCTACCGACCACTCATCTATCACCACTCCGCCAATTTCTATTTGAATTAAAACCATTTTCCCCTGCATTGACACTGCTTTAAGCGCAAAATGAAATATGTAGGGTTGCTATGTTACCTTCACTCATCCTCTTCACACTAAAGTAAAAAACTTCTACAAAAATTTCCTAGCTTCAACACAAGAATTAAAAACATATTTAACAACGTCAAAAACAAACACAAAAGTACATTCACATTGTTTGCCGCAGCGCACAAGTCATGTCTCCCGGCCGAGATCACGCAAAAAACGATGAAAAGTTCAAATAATTGAACTTTTTATAGGTACGAGATTTCCGAGTTTGCGTGACATCGTCATGCGTTTTACCGAGATTTCCTTAAAATCGGTACGGACTTTGCAAGTTGTCGTGTTTTGCGTGACATCGTTCCCAGTGTAGCTTGCCCAATGTTGAGCAATGATGCGAACTTTTTTTTCGGGAACGATTTCACGCAAAAACCGATGTCTCGGATAAAACGCACGGAAAAAAACGCGTAGTGGAGCCCGGCCTTAAGTCGTCACGCTTTCAAACAGTTTTTCGTGGTCTGGCATTTTAGGTTTTGGTTCGCCGTTGATAAGGCAGCAGCCGATACGTAAGGAAACCTCACTCGAGCAACGACAGATACTGCAATCGAAGTGAAATAATAGCACCATTCTGGCGATAGAGTGCTGACAGACCATAAGACGAGACAATCTAGCCAGACAAACATGACCTTTTCAGTCCGAGAGTGAGCACCATGTAAAGAAGTCGATAAGATACCGCAAAACTGATGTGAACAACATGTCTGCATCGTAAACACAAATCAGTTCCGTTTCGGAGATAGATCAATGAGCGACAATGCAGCAATGCCAGTATACGATCAAGCACAGGCTCTTGCACACATTTATTTACTAACGTGACTGTGAGTACGCTAACCGAACGTCTTTATGAGTTCAATATCGGGTGGAAAGACCCTATGTACAGAACATAAACGTAATCTGAAGCAAGCGCATATATTTCCGAAGCCTGCACGGGCTACTGAATTTAAGTTCGTCATTGATTGTTAGCTGAAAGACAGTTTCGTGATAGTTTTTAGGTGATAGTTTCCGTGAAGCGAGTAATACGCAGATATTCTCAGAAGCGCGACTGCAATTATTAGAAACTTACCGGACAGCCTTTGATCCTATACCTAAGAATGCGAAACGGTCAAAAAGCCGGCGCCCCATATTTGACGCGCTGCAGTCCAGTGTCGGTTACCCAGGACGAAAACAAGGTGGACTTGTACCAAACAACTTCCAGCCACCTCCGCGCGCCACGAAACTTTTAATAGGGCGGCTCACTTCGATTGGCATTGTTTCAAAGGACGTGGGATTGGGAACAGCGACAAAACTAGCCAGGCCGGCTGATACTTGGTTTTAACAGAAACCGGAGAACCCAATAAACTAGAATATTGTGAGGGAAGGAGCGCCACCATACAAGGTTTAGTGAGCAACTACGCTTTAATCAGATTCCAGTCCTGAGCCAATCGTGGAGAAAATGCCACTCTTTGACGTTAATTGAAGTCATAGAACGCCTCAGCAAATAGTTTTTGATGCTCATGGTGAACTACTTTGAAGGAACGCTGGTCGAACGATCTTAGACAGTGTAGGCATTGTTTATTATACACACTGTTTCAATTTTTGTTGATCTTTATATCGGGCCCTGGCGACCCTATCCCGAACTATGATAGCCCTTCGACAGACACTGATGGACGTTATAAATCAAGCGTTACAAGTCAAAGGTCTTATCACTCACTAGCCACAGACCGCTACTCTCTCAATATCACCCCCACAGTCCGCGTCCCAGCGCCACCCCCCCGCCGCCTGGTCAGCCCACTCACCTGTCTGTCCCCCGAACGGCGTGCCGGCGCTGAAGCCGACCACCACCCCGCGCGCGCCGTTCACTAGGCCAGCGCGCACGTCCAGGTTTTTGGCGAGCATCACCTGCGCGCCGGGTCGCAGCCGCAGCCGGCCGGCCACCGGAGTCAGCGTGTCCAGCACGGTGGCGGACGCGCCGACAGAGTCCTCCGCCAGGTACTGACGCTCCAGACCTGGTTATGGAGGGAGAACGGGAGAGGGGTGAATTCTCCTGTACTGGCTACCAAGGGAAGGGGAGGAGATGGATGAGTTTTATATGCCCCGCGATTGAATATGAGAAATGTCAGTGGGTACATACGTTGAGAGATGTTATAGCTAACCTCGTGAAAATGAGACTCAGTAGCTGCGGGCTGGTCAAATGAAAACTATGTAAAGGCCAGAAATGAGATATCGTAGTCTGGGCGGTAGGCAGCGGCAGTAAACGCTAGCTAGAGCCGCTCATTTGAGGCAAAGGGTCCGCGGGTAGATTCGAGTCTCTCGATATGGTAATAAGATGATGAGTTTGTAATCGGGTCTCCGGACGAAAGCTCGGTTATACTACTAAAACTTCCCGGTTACGACCGTTGAGTGGCGATCCGGCAGCGCGCCACCGACCTGTGAGGGCGGCCAGCTTGTGTTGGTTGATTTGGTCCACGTCAGCCCGGTGAGTGCAGAGCCGGGTGGCGGCGATACCGGCCGGCAGCTCCATCGAGTTGGTGGCCGTGGCGGCCAGGCGGCGGGCGTCCTCCTCAGTGCACCTAGCGGGGTACGAACAGACGTCAGTGGATATCTAAGGGAGACGATGAAACAGTGAACATACACAGATTTTCTGACGAATAGTTACAGTCGGGCTAAGACTGGACATCACAGAATGTCGGTCTTCTCACTATAGGTCGCGTCATCGACAGAGATCGTTTCATCGACATCCATAAGCGGCAGAGGTCAACATTGATTAGGTAGCAGACCGATATCCTCAGCTTCTATACGGGATGCACTACAAGACGTAACCGAATAACGCGCCCGAAACGCATATTACTTTAACCAGCGAGTACCGGGAACCAGACATGCAGGTAGATTCCCACCCCTCAGTCATGACCCATGGGTCCACGTCCTACTCAGGGGTACGGATAAGTCCTCAGTACCATTATGAATTGATGGACTTCTACGACAGAGGACAAAGGCACTCACCTGCCGACACGGACGTTCTGCAGGATGCGGATGAACTCGGGGTCGTCCTGCCGGTGTATCTGCCGCAGCTCCATCGTCACATCTATACAGCGGGTCCAGGCATCCGACTCGAAACAGAACCGGCCACCGCCGCCGCCTGACGAGGAGCCGCTCGAGCCTGCGGGATGAGGAAGACATTCATTGCCGATGTGGGGGTAGATGGAGAGATAATCTCCAATCCGCCAGCTCATGTCAAGTTTATATGACAAATTTAGTCAACTTCCAGATTAGTAGCTAAATATGTAAGCGAGCGGTAGGCAGACACAACACAACAAGTTACAAAGTAAGCAAGATACAAAAAAGAACAGTAGTCCGGCCCTATGTTCCTTGATCCTTCTTTGACAAATAAAACTGGATGTCCTCAGCCGTGCCTCAGCGGTCACTCCTCGCCATCAGCGCCACTAGTCGGACGGTCCCCACTTCCCACTGAGCGGCAGTCGGCGCCACATACCGGGTTTGTCCGTCCCACGCCGTTCGCCCTGTGATAGACAGCGCCACGTACCGGGTTTGTCGCTCCTGGCGACGACCGGCGGCAGCTGGAGGAAGTCGCCGCACAACACCAGGTGGATGCCGCCGAACGGAGCCGTGCTGCCGCGCACCATCCGCGCCACGTACTCCAGTTTCTGCCGACGGAGCAGGGTGGGAACACGAAGTCAGACGGCGTACATAATCAGACGACGGAAAGCTCAAAGACGGAATACGGTGCGAACGCACTCCGTGATATGGTGAGACGGTATGGTTTAAGAAAGTTGAGATTGAGACGGCACGCCGGAAAAAGCCCGACAGTATGAACAGGCAGCAAATCGTCAAGCAGTGCTTCGGTAAAATTACGTAATATTACCTAACAGTGGTACTAGTCTGCTAACTGTGGCACTAGTCAGTTAACTAGCTTAGGTAATATTAGCACACTGTGCAGTCAGGTGAATTCTCTGCTAAAGAGAAATAGCTCAAGGAAACATCTAGCTCGACTGTCATGCTGTCGGTACGCGTTTCCCACCTGGAAGAAGTCGGCGTCGACCATGGAGATCTCGTCTATGACAAGGTGTTTGCAGCGCTTCCAGTGCTGTAGCACGCCCGGCCTGGAGGCCAGCTCGACACACTGCTCCAGGGAGGCGGTGCCGCGGCCCAGACCGGCGAACGAGTGCAGCGTGACGCCCTGCACCTGACAGGCGGCGGCGCCCGTGCTGGCCGTCACCCAGGTGCTCTCCGGCGGCAGGGCAGAGATGATCCGCTGCAGCAGGAACGATTTGCCCGTACCGGCGCCGCCTGGGGACGCAGCATGAGTTAGACGGATGCAGATCACCCTACATCCAGTGAAAGGTGGCAGTGACAATATTCGAAATGATTAAGTGTTCAAGAGAATTCGTTCGTACTCCGTAGATGTCAGCAATGAGTTAGGACTCGTTACTAACCTGTGAAAAACACGTTCCTGTTGCTGGTGGCCACCTCGAGTACGGCGCGCTGCTCCTTGGTGATGGGCAGCGGGTTCAGGAACTGACTCATGGTCAGGACCTTCGCCGGCCTCTTCGCCTGAGGACAGACACACATAGTTAACCGATATCTAACATGTAACTTACATAGAAATCAATTCTCCGACATCTAATAATGTTGCCAGAAGACTTAGACTTAGACTTATTTCGTCGACTCCATCCATCTAGTAGATGCAGGATCATTTCTGATCGTCTTCCAATTATGTTGGCTGTCTGGATGATAAAAATTCTGCCAGAAGGCAGAAACGTTGATCCTTTAAAGCCTACCCCCATAAATCCCTCGCGTTCACCTTCTTCACCCGTACCTGGTTCTCGGCGCCGGAGGCGGCGGCCGGCCGTTTCCCGGCCCGCGGCGCCGCCGGTACGTTGGTGTCCCGTGCCGTGAGTGGCGCCGGCCCCGCCTGCTGTGGCTGCTGGCCGCCCGCCTGCTGTCCCTGCAGCTTTCCCAGCTGGTCGGCGGTGAGCGGACTGACCTCGTCCAGCCTGCGGTCGGCCGGCGCCCGCAGAAGACGGTCCCGGACGCAGGTCGGCCGGCCCGCCGCTGTCTGCAGCGCCAGTTTGGCTGACAGCACGCGGAGGAAGGTGAGCAGCTGCGCGGGCGGCGCGTTCGAGACGAGCAGCCGCAGCTGCTGGCCGCGCACCACCAGCGTGGCCTTGCCCTCGCGCAGGAAGCGCCGGTGCAGCGTCACCTCTTTGAGCACCACCTTGATCTGGTGCTGGCGCGCCGTCTGCAGCAGCAGCACCAGCTCGCGCTGCTCGCTGCGGCACAGCGACAGCGAGGCGGTCGGGTGACGCGCAGAGCGCAGCACGCTCCCTTTGCCGTCCAGCTGGTCGATCGTCACAGAGGCCGAGATCACCGGGCACGAGAGCGAGCTCTTCGGAGACTCGCCTGTCGCCGCCGACATGGCGACCCGCAACACTGTGGGGGTGAGGCGTGGGGTTCCTGTGAGGATGTGTCGCACAAGCTTCAGCTTGCTAGGAAAATGACTGAACCTTTCCAGTTTCCTTCAACCATTTCCTGAAATCTCTCCAATGTCCCCTGCCTAGGCAGGAAAAGTCTTAACTGTTTAACTTGTAGTGACATAACCTGTCTTTCTTCCTTTTTAAAATGTCACACCATCATCTATTATGAAGGATGATGAAACAAATTGAATAACACATACCGTACACTGTATAGGTATAGGTACTGTATAGGTACACTGATGTGAATTGATTGTGATGCATGTACTATATGCATTGAGGGATGGCACCAACTACTATTGGTTGGTGAAAGTTATCACTTAGGTAATTGTTTTGTGTATTAATTATATTTAGACAAAGTTTCATCATGGAAAAACCTGCATTTGTTCTACCTTTTAGATTAGGTACTGAATTCAATCACAGGTAGGACAGCTAAGTCTGAAGGCTGCTGTTGTTGAGAACATTAGGTTTGGGCAGGTAAAAAAAGGCTTGGGCAGCTCAAAGTGAAAAAATGTGATGCAACCTAGCATTTGTGATGTGGCTAATTAGCTTTCAAATCCTACTACATGCTAAAAGACATCAATTGGAATGGTTTTCAAATATTACACCACGATATAACCAGACACACCTAAAAAAAACATACAAAATATGCCACAAAATATACAAAAATATGAATACATGATACTGCACGGTGCTCTCAACAAGGACAGGAGCTCGAGCATACTAAGGCAATGGGAACATTACTTTACCGCATTGAAGCTACCAGGCATAATACAAATGATGACAACAAATGGAGTACAGGGTAAGAGCTGGTATAAAGTTTGCAAACAAGCCATCAACGCGTATACTAAAGCAATGATTATAGAAGAAGCTAGCAAGAGACAAACTATACAGTGGATCGCCGATATTGCACAAAATATGGAAGAATACGAGCCAGCGGATCAATTCTGGCCGAAAAACAGACTAAGTGTTATTGGCAGACAAGCGACAGGCACGAGGATACGACTTCTAACGGAGCAGTCGCTTCTTGCCACAGGAGTCTTAAGAAGGCACGCTGAGCGAAATGAGATCTGTCCATTATGCATGAAAGCAACAGAAACTCTTGAACACTTTCTTTATGAGTGTGTGGAACTGCGGCAAGAACGTGAGGAAGGACAGAGGAGGAGGAATGCGAGGTTAAATAGGACTCTACCTGCGAAGCTGACTGTCCGCAATGCTGACTCAGAAGAGGCCTTGTTGATCAATTACCTATACAAGACAAGGATACAAAAGGAACTGCAGTCTGCATGTCGACAGCAGTTGAAACGAGCAGGACAAGAAAAGAATCCTGTCCTCATCCTCCCAGTCTCTCCTTGCCTGGTGCCACCACTAGCGTCTTGCACAGTACCTAACGTAAAGGCTGAGATAAGGGACAGCAGAGGGTCATCAGGGAGGACAACCTGATGGTGCACCCGATGGGTGGAACCGACGACTGAGAAGCCACAGATTTACTCATTCCCGCTGATCGGTCATATGACCGATGAGCGGGAATTTTGAGCCGGAATCCCTCTTCTTTTTTCGCAAATGCAATTCTAATGATTGTGATTGTTTGATGGATGATATGAATGAATTGGGAATATTTTTTAAATAAAAACTTTCTCAATTCAATAGAGTAAAGTAGTGAAAGTCACGGTGAACATAAACAAAGTTAAAGTTGGGTTTTTCATAAGCTCGTAAGAACTCATAGAATGTAAAATTGAATTGAAATTCATTGCTGATCAAATAAAAAACAAGCAGGTCCTTTACTAAAATATGAGCGAAAAAACCAGTTAATGTCTGGATAGCAGCTTAAAACCTTGTTTTTAGACTTAAGAGATGTGACAACCTAAAACATTTGGGTAAATTGCATCTCAACCTCTACATAAATGGCGCGGATGGGCAATCCCGGTATCTTTTGACCACAATTTTTGCAAAATACGATGGGAGCAAAAGGAACTTGACTAGTTTAAACGCATTTTCGACATTCAGACGAACCATTTAACCACAAATACGAACCTCAGAAAAAATATAAAAGAAAGAAACCAGCTATGAAAACATGGAAAACCGCAGCAGACATCCGAGACTTTTAAATGTAAACTACTGCCATATCGACTCGATAGGGTAAAAGTGCTGCCACATGAAGGCATTACTCTGCATTTCTTTTTGCCGTAGTAAAGTAATCTTGCTTTTTGCCACCAATGCTCTTGACGTGGGCCGACCCGGCCGACCAAAACCAAAATCGGCAGAACTGTTTGGAATACGGAGTGAAATATGGGGCGGTGAGCCTACTAGAGGGGGATGGGGAGGGGATGTTAGGTTCCTTGTGGAATCTTTTTACACCTATGACGAATCTTGCGTGAATTCAAGGTGGGGTGTGCCAGTTATCTGCCACTTTACCAGGACGATGGGATGAAACGGCGATCAGTGGTGCCATGATTCTAGACCCAGTACGATACACTCAAGGTCGTGGCCAATCTGAGTCACGCCATTGAAGAACAGAGTGGAAAACAGAGCTACCAGTATTGAGCACGACTCGCTCAGTCACTTGTCCAGTGAACAGCTTTCACCACACGTCTAACAGCAGCTCAGTTTCCGCCTCTCCCGAGCCCAAAACGTTCTAGTCTAAGCAAGCCGTGAAACAACTATCAGACATTCATTGAATCATGTATTTACCACCACATCACATGTCAGTGTGGCGACTGGCACACAGTAATCCAATCCGCGTACCCTCCGACAGTTCAAAAACGCTCACGCGAACCCGCGAGTCACTGGCAGAAAGGGCAGCAGGCAGTTCGATGTCAGTCAGCAGTTCCGGTAGACAACTTTGTATCAGCTGCATGACGTGCCTCTCTGAGAGGGACCTGGCAACAGAGAAAAATGACGACGACAATGATGTTGATATAGGTTGATTGAATGATACCCAGACTACAGTACAGTGGTCACTGGTCATCAGCGCTCCACAGTTTGCCAATAGAACCATGACAACAATAACACAGCACCAACTAACACAGGACGGCTCATAGACTGCTACCGGAACCTAGAGACGTCTGTTATAGCGACTCGCGATTCATAAACCTATAACTTACCGAGATTGCGCGTTGTCCAGTCCAGGTTAGCCGATCGCCGATAGTTTTGGTTTCGAGCAGTTCTGGACCCATCTGGGGCGGAAGTTCCCTCCTAGGTCAGCTGGGCACCTCCTTCCGTTTCCATCATCCGGCAAACCTGTGTAGGTTCCATTCCAGTAAGTCTCCGATATACAAAATCAACGCAAGAGAAAAAGAAAAACAAATGCTATAGCCATTAGAAATAACAGTTGGCAGCACTTGACCGCGAAATAAGAAAGCTGTAATCGCCACGCCATATGTGGAAGGCTTTTGCTGGGACACATACATACATACACACATACATACATACATACATACACACATACATACATACACACATACATACATGCATACATACATGATACGTAGTCTTATAAGTCCTAACTCACCTTCTTTCGAAGATCAGCTCCCTAGGCTGTTCTAGGATCTCGAGACGCAAACCGGAGTCCATCCCCCTTCTGATCTGGTACTCTGATCTCTTCGCACTGCAGTCCAAACGCCTGACATCCCCGTGCCGCTGTAGGCGGGTCGTTCTCAGGGCTAACGATCGGCTAGTGTCTCCTCCCAGTTCTATCTCCGCTGTTGGTCTATGCCGGGTCGGTAGGCCAGTCCCCGCAGCCCCTCAGCCGCCCGGCGCCCGGTACAGCCGCTCCACCCTAGCCAGCTCGTGTCTCAGCTGTACCGGGTCGCCCCAGTCGGCCAGCTGTGCCCTCACGGCCGCCAGCAGGTCAGCGTCAGCGCGGCCCTCGCTCAGGGCGGTGGCTATCGCCAGCTGAGGACACACAGGAGCGGCCGGGGTTACAGGACGTCACGAGCGTTAGAGACACAAAGAGACACATCTGCATCACACGACACTCGAAAGTGCCAGCCACCGAACCTGGTTGGCGGTATTACAACAACTCACAAATTGATCCATTAACATAGCAGCTAGCAAACGAAAATTCTGAGAATCTCAAGTGCTGTCGCCATGTTATTAGCCATCACTACGTGCCAGAGATCATGCACGCCCGCATGCACCACACAGCCGGTGCCGACGAACAAAAAAGAGGGTCAGTGTATGCATTGATCAGTACAACTTCTAACATTCTGTCCCGGAGTCCCGACTCCACTCACCATCAGTCGCTGCCGGCTGGCCATGAGCGGGTTGGCGGCAGCGGCCAATCCGGGCGGTATCAGAGCCACCCGTCGGCCGGCAGCGGCCGCCTGGCTGCGCAGCTGCTCGGGCCGCGGCGCGCAGCAGCTGTTGAGCAGCAGCAGCTGCGCCGGGCCGCGGCAGCCGACCAGCTGCAGCCAGAGGCCGGCGCGGGCGGCGTCCAGCCGTCCGTCCTCCTGCTGGGCCGTCAGCAGCCCGCTGCTGTCCGAGTAAACCTGACGGCCGCCGCCCTGAACAATACACGATACAAACCACAGTCACTACACCTGGGTCATGGGTGTAATTATACAAAAAACTTCAGTCTGAGCACACCCGCCGGGCACCGCCCAACTTAATACGTACCACAGACCGCTATAAGTGCACTCGGGTGTGATACAAACTGCTTCTAACAGAGTTAACTCACACACTTTAGTGTTTTATGCAACGGCTCACGGCTATCAAAGCAAGAACATCTACATGTAATAGAGACGCCCAAATGCAATGTATCCTGTCTTGCAACAGATTTGCAACACACAGCCATATGTCTGCAGGCCTCCCATCCCCACTAACCTTCATAATGAGCATCGGTGGCTGTACGGATCCTTCCAGCGTGCAGCTGATGAGCAGTGTGGCCAAATGTTCCGAGTCCTCAGACCTCCAAACGGCGCACGGCGCTGAAAATGAAAATAAAGGGGATACGTGGCGTTGATGTCAGAAATAAGAGCCACTTTCGCGGATGCTCTACGGATGTTTAATACATACACTTTGCATAAAATGGCAATGAAGTGCCAGGACCAGAAATAAGTTTGTAGATAAGCACAGGTATACCACATATGCTACGATACACACCAATAACACAAAGAATAGAAGATTGAGTGAATTTACTACAATAAAAAACAATCGCCCATAAAACATCGCCTTACCTGGCCTGGTTGAGATGGGTACGTCCGCCATGACGACAACTGCGTGCGGCGGCGGCGGCTGCAGCCTGCCGGCCCAGTGCTCTGCCTCCGCCAGCAGCGGCTCGGGCAGCTGCATCTGCCAGGTGGCCAGCGGGCGGCCGAGCGGCCGGTGGCGCGCCAGCAGCCGCGCCGCCCAGAACTGGCCGCCCGGCTGCTGGCCGTACGCGGCCAGCGCCGGCCGGCTGGTGGCGCGGCCCTGCTCAAACTCGGTCAGCAGCCAGCGGACGGCTGTGTGCTCGCGGCGCCGGTCCGTCACGTCCGGCACCTGACGCTGCCAGTGGCGGCTGTGCGGCACGCTCAGCCCGGCGTCCACGTACATCCGTCGGGCCACCCGCCGCACCTCCTGGTAGGTGGGCGGCGCGGCGGTGTCCCGTCGGCGGCGCTGCAGCCAGTCGGCGAACTCGGCGTCCACCTCCGTGGGGCGCCGCTTCTTGCCGCCGCCCTTGGCGCGCACACACACGGCTGCCGAGGCGGCCATTTCGGCCAGCTGCCGCCGAGCCGCGCGCCACTTGTAGACGACGGCCAGCGGCACGCAGAACGCGGCAGCCACCTCCTCCGCCGTCATGAACTCGACGAACCGCAGCAGCAGCAGTTTGAACTGGGGCGGGTAACCTATCCGCACCGGTTTTCCCCCGGAGTCATTCTCAGTGACTCTCTTCCCCTGCACAGCGGCCAGTCTGTCGAGCCATAGCGCCAGGTAGGAGCCGTCCTCAGACAGCCGGCGGCGGCCGTCGGGGCCAAGAAGAGCGGCCAGCTCGGCGCTCAGGCCGGCCCGGGTCACCGGCTGCTGGGCGGCGGCGCGCTGCCTCAGCCAGGCGAGCACAGCGGTCGCCGGGTCGCGCTCCGGCAGTCGCGGCGGAGAGAGGTCATCGGCCGCGGGCCGAGAGATGACTATGTTGGTGGAGAGGCACGCTGAGGTCTTTGTCACAGAAGGAGCCGCTGATCGTGCGGGCTGTAACTGTGCTGGCGCTGTCGTGTCTGGGCACTGTGATACTACAGCAGCGGTTATGGACTCTGCAGCTTCAGCTGGCCAGTCGTATGACATGGCGGACGAGACCGCAATTTCGAATGGAGTACTCTGGGGGTGTACGCGAGCACATGTGGTATCCCGCACCAGTGGAGGGTCCGCGACTGTCACCGCTTTAGCGGTCTCAGTCGTTGGAGCGTACGACGTTTCGACCGGGAAATCATCCAAGACGTTTGATGCAACCGAGGCCAGAGCGGCGAGTGCCGATAGGTTATCAGTTGCCAGGGTGGACGTCGCTGATTCGTTGGCCGTGCGAGCTGGCTGATCGGTCGCGGGAAGTTGTAACACCTCAGTCTCAGCTTCTTTGTCTGACTTCTCCGACTGGACCGAGCTCAGAGACGGCTCAGACTCTATCGCAGGGACATCACTCTCGGAGGAGAGCAGCGCAGAGCCAGCCACGGCCCACAACAGCTGAGTGAGCTCCGAGTCGGATTCTGAGACCGCTGGATCGGAGCCGACGGGACGGGCGGGCGTCTCGGCCGCTGCCAAAGTCTTCTTATCAACGGGCGTCGGCTCAGCGTCACTTATACCACTATCCTGCCACTCCATACGAGTGGCCTCATTCAGCTCTTCTTCACTCGGTTGGACCACATCAAGGACCAGGTATTTCTCGCCCTCTTCATCCAACACCTCCAGTCCCGACTCCCAGAGAGCCTCGTCAAGAAACACAGCGTCGGCTCCGTCCAGCAGGTCCGCTGTTCCTTCCCCAGCCTCGTCCCCTGCACCGACCTCCTCTTCCCGCTGCCACCCGGAGGTCAGACCCATCACCAGGTTAGGGTCCACCCAGTGGCCGGCCGGCTCGTCCAGCATCGGCTCCCAGTCCGGCGGACAAGACTCCGTCACCAGACTCGGCTCCGGGACCAGCTCCGGCGGCGGCTCCGTGCTCTGGCTCGGAGCTGCAGGAGCCGGCAGCGGCTGCGGAGCGACCGGTGCCGCCGCCGGGCCCTGTCGCTGCGAGTAGCCGTGGTCCTGGGGCAGGCCGAGCTGGTCCGAGATACTGCGGATCAGGTCCTCCTCAGTGAGCGCCGCCGGCGGGCTGTAGGCGTACCGGTGGTCGGTGGCCGAGCACGCGTCGCCGCCCGGGGAGGCCGGCCGCGAGGCGTACTGGTGGTCGGCGCTCGGGCGCACCTCGCCGGCCACCAGCGGCTCCAGCGGGTAGTCGTAGTTGTGCTCCTGGTAGGGGGTCGGCTCCCCGGACGGCGGCACGCTGCCCGGCGGCGCCACCTCCTGCTCCGTCTCCTCGCTGACGGTCAGCTCACACTCGACCTCGGAGAGTCGCGCCGCGGCCGGCGGCGTCCAGACGGCGCGACCCTCTGACGGCGCGGGATACTGGAGACGGGAGTGGCTGAACTCCCGGGATACGGAGCTGGCAGGGATATCCACTGGTGCCTGACACACCTGGTGACCCAGGAGTGGGGAGGGACCATCGGGGCGCTCTGCCCAGCTGGAAGATGTCAGCACTGGTAGGGGAGAGGACGATGGCCGGAGTTGACCGGAGGCACCGAAACAGTCCTTGACATCTGCTTGGTGGGTTTCTGGAGTACACTGGACCACATGAGGCTGAACAGAATCTGTGGCATCATGTTGTGCACTTATCTCTGCCTCACTAATGGCAGACATGGGTGGGCTGTCTTCTTCTGTGGGCTCATTTTCCAGCATCTGAAAATGTCCGGCCTCCAAATTTTCCAGTGACATGGGCTCCTGAACATTTTCCTGAAAGATTATCCTGTCCCAGCTCTCCACTGAGACCATGCTAGGGGCCAGCAACGCCAAACCATCCACAGCCTCTGTAAGAGTACTGGAATCATGGATGACATCTAGTGTCTGCACACACTGCTCAATGAACTCTGAGGAAAGACCAACAGGCCACAGCTCATCAGCTGTAGCATCAGTTACCAGGAGCTGAGTGTATTCAGTACATGGCTGGTTCAAAAGCAGCTCAGTGCATTCTGCATCCAACTGATTTTGAGGTGGTGCTTGTGTATACTGCATGTCTGAGCTTGCCACATCTTCAAAAGCAGCATGATTAGATTCTTCCATAAGCATCTGGGGAGAAATTGTACTGCATGCTTCATCTGGATGTTGTGGAGAAACTATATCATATTTTGTGTCACTCCTTCCTGCATCCATTTTTCATCCTGGAAGAATTAAGATAATTTGGTGAGTGTCACATGTGGAATCTGGCCATTCATGGAAGCAGCGAGGATCAATGTTAAGACATGTTCAAACTGAGAAAAGAACTATTTCAACAATTTTCAGAAAAAAATACAGCATAAAAAAGAAAATAAATTGATACCTACCTAACTTACAACTAGATTGAGACAAAAAATCAGCAGTAGGAAAAAATATCAGCTTTGGGAGCTGCAAGATATTGTCATGGGATGCAGCTCAAATTGAAGAAGCATCTGCATCCAGCATCTCTGGACATGCAAGTTATGGGTGGGGGTGGGGGACCAAGGACAAAACTAAGTGTTAGTATTTAAGCAGGCATCACACCTACTGAAACAACACCTTAATCAGGCTTAACTACAATAATATGAACATTCACAAAGCATTTCTCCATTGATGCCAGATTGAGATCAAATGAACCAATCAAATTGTCTGTCATGTCATTCATTGTCTGATTCAATGTCTGATTCAATAGCCTCCAGCTCAGCTAGTGGAAACTAAGAAGTTCCACTCAGCTTGAGCTAGTGGAAAGAAAGCTCCAGTTGAGGTGAGCTTTCTTTCCACTAAGCCAGCCATTTGATGACTTATAAGTCAATATAGACCCATCCGACCCATCAGACCCATCTAGTGCCCCAAGTGAACTGATTCATGATAACAAACTTCATGATCTTCTTGTTCTTGTTGGATTAGGGCGCGTAGCTGCCAGGGCTGCCAGGGCTCAAGCGTCCATCAAACTTCATGATCGCAAATGATCGCAAAATGATCGCAAAACGCTTCAATTTTCACTTATATTGATATGAACTCAAGCAGATTAAAATTGCAGGTGTACTGATAATTCCATTAGGATAAAAGTAATCGCATTGCTATCAAGCATAAAACCTGCTTACCCCTTCCCAATTTCGATTTTTATCCCCCAAATCCCACAAATCCGCGGCCGCCCCGACCACAATTCAAAATAAAAACAACAACGCGCAAATTCCAAACAAAATATATCTAACTGCTGTTCACTACTTATCTCACAGGAGAACGCTGCCAGGCTGCAGATGACTCTCGTCTTTTCATTGGTGAAATTTTCTTACAAGTGGCGTTTGACCAATAAGAGGCCGACGCTGACAAGCATCATACCAAATGTCGAACAGCAGATACATTTTACAGAAATGGCGCACAAGAAACATAAACGGAGGATGACACAACTGTGTAGGCTGCTAAATAGAAAATACCTTTTGTGATGTGGAAATATTTCAATTTACAATTCGTGCCCCTAGTTCAAGTTCAAGGGCATAGGCCAGTATTGTGCTTCAGGGAATTCTGAACTCTGCCGAAGCGTTAAATATTTGTTAAGGTTTGCTTTCACCAGGCATTCTTAGATTTCAGTTGGGCAAACTAGACTTTTGGAATCAAAATATGGAGGCATCAATAATTTGATTCTGGTGGGAGGAGCCATGACCAAATATGGGCATGGAATCAATTTTTTGATTCATTTGGGTACACTTTTGACTTCAAATGAATCGTTACGGTTGAAAAAAGGCCCATGACGGTGAGATTTTTTCTTTTAAAAGGTAGAAAAATGTGGTAGGTTTGCAAAAAGTGTTACCTCAAAGCTAAGAAATTGTCCCTTTGGCCTTGTGAATGGGAAAAAGACATAGCCACTGTCCATCACGTAAAAGCTGTTTTGAGGAAATCACACTGTATGTTATTTTTGTATCATGAATCACATACTAACCAATCAGTATTTGTGTAAAATGGCAAAATGAAATTTTTAAACCCCTAATTATCATTGTTGTAGTGCTTGTATATTATTTATATGGTTTTTACATGTTGCTTCAGTTTTTGTATTCTTCACATTTAAAAATTGTGAATTGTTATGAAATGTGGTGAAGGTAAAGTACAACAATGCTATAGGTATCAGTTGTGGTGCTGAGGATACCACTAAATGAGAATAATAGCAAGATAAATGCTGTATTCTTGCAAGTCATTGTTGCCTATCTGTTAACATTACCTGTGAATCAAAATAATGATTAGCCAGCTGATGGGGAATCAATATTATGATTATCTGTTTAAAGTGAATCAATTCCTTGATTGCCTTTCACTACCTATATAATTCAAATTGTTATGATAGGAGCAATATTATTTTGCTTAGGAGATAGTTCAAGCATTTCTGTTCAAGATCAGGCATGCTCTTTCTTGAAACACTCTCTTATTTTTATGTGATTGGTAAGTTAGAAATGGTCTGCATTTATGCCCAAAAGGAATCAATCTTTTGATGCCTCCATATTTTGATTCCAAAGGTCTAGTTTGCCCAACTGATTTCCCATTCAAACAATTCACCGAATTTTGCCAAGGCAACACACTGCGATCAGCAATGGTAAGCTTTAAAAAATTCGAATATAAATTCCACTGAAATACTATCCACAATGCATTGGTTTTACCTGATACGTGAAAGGTTGTCAATGGTATCATCTATCAATGCAGAACTTACGTGGTAGGTAGAACCCATGAATCTTGCATTGGCAGCACACCTGCGAGCTATCCTTTCCTTACCTTCTTTTATATAGTATACAGGATTTATTTAAATAGACCAATTGGCCTATAGGGCGAGGTCTAGTCAAGCACCTTGTTCAATGACCACATTCTGTTCATCTGCATAAGGTCTGGTGCAAGTTTGGTGTAAGCTATGTTTAGGTGTCAGGTGTGTCCATTGTGTCATAGCTGGACGCTGATTTTGAACCTGGAAAGCATGTTAGGGGCTATACTGGTGTTGGCAGTAGTCTGTTTCAGCCATTTAGCACCCTGACAGAGAAGGCATTGCTACTGTTTCTGACTGCTCTGGCATTTAGTTTCTCCATTGTTGAGTTGTCATGTCTGATAACAAGTGCTTTGTCCCTTTTCAGTCAGCCATCTTCAACTTCCAGTCTCTTCTGACAGTGGTGTTACTGATGATCTGCACCTGCACATTCATCCATGCCATTTTTCCAAGCATACTGGACCGAAACAAGACAGGGTAGGCATGAGTGTGAAATCTGGTGGCACTGCTTGGCATACCTACCCTACCAGCCCAATTACTAGCTACACACACTGATTTTCGTGGCATGGTTGCCCCCAATGCCCATCCATACCTATACTTGTCCATTTCACTATTCAAGAGGTACCCACTTAATGCTCACCTTTAATAGGGCTTACCATTAGCAATACTTACCCTATATGCTTACTCCCAAGAACATTTCCCGCTGAGAACAGTCTGGCGTGCAACCGATTCCCTCTGGCCCCTGCCGCGCTTCTGACCGCCTCTCTCCTCCCCGGCAGTGTGATGGGCACCTTCTGGAAGTTTGCGCGCATCGGAGAGCGTCTCAGCCCGTACGTCTGCGTGGCCTGCTGCATGATGGCCTTCTCAGTGCTGTTCCTGTCGTGACCTCGGTGCGCCGGTGGCTTATTTATACACACTTAAACCCTGGTGGCGAGGCCAGGCCTCGCGGCGCGGTATCAGAAAAGAACTGAAGTGTCAGCCGACCGCGGTCGGTCGGCGGCCGGGACCAACTGTGATGTGACCGACGCCCGAGAGCCGTCAGACGGCAACGCTACTGTGCTGACTGGACGGGTCAGCGAGACCCAACGCGGACGACAATGTGGGGGTTATATTCATCGGTTAAAATACTACAAAACAATGAACACAAATGAATACAAATGATGGTATGACTGCGTGACTGACTGCCACTCGCCCGCGTTCACACACACGCCGACGCGGCCAGGCGGCGCCCGCAGCTCCCTGCGGCTCGGGCTGCGGCTACAGGAAAGCAATACGTATCACGGAGCGGTCGGGCGGGGCCGCGGCGCCCGACGCACGGGGAGACGGAACACGACGCCAACTGAGCGGACACCGGCGAGCGCCGCGCCGGAACCTGAGAGCACCATTATGACGCCAGCGCGCAAGCATCGACACCGAAAGGTGCGCAAAGACAGCGGGAAAAGACTGAGGCAACAGATCTGTTCGGCACAACACAGCGGAACCGCGACGTCAAAAGCGCCGCCAACGATTGGAAACACCTAATTCATGCGCTTGAAGCGTTTCAAACTAAGGTTTCACCCGATTATGACAGATCGTTACACCGACACTGGGCCATGCGCACACGTAAATCGAGGCGATTCCAACCTGTCGCGGCGCGGTGCGTCCACCTCAGACTGCCACATTCGCCGACCGCGCAGCCACTCGGCGCCGACTCGCACCAACCAACACATTTGGCACAGCAAACAAACGCTCTCGCTCGCTCGCGCCAGTAGAAAACAGCCAGTCCGGGCCGGCGAGCGGCCCCGATAATATCGCGTTGGGCGCGCACGTGCGCGTGGGTGCGCGCCCGGTCTGTCAGCCAGCCACTCGGTCTCTCAGTCGCTCTGTGCGTGAAGTGTCTGAGGCGGGAGGGCCGGTCAGACGAGCGGCGTGGAGGGCGCCGGCGGCCGCGAGCCCATCGTGCTGCCGGTGGTCGCGCCGCTCGCCGCCTGCCGGATCATCTCCTGGTACGTCTTCTTATGCTTGTCCAGGATCTGAGTGACCGTCACCAGCTTCCGCAGGCTCGGCTGTGGGGCGGACGGAGGAGGTGACGTTACAAAAGGTGCGCGGTACAGGAGAATGGAGTGGGGGATTACAGTTTACCGGCTACATCGAATTGAACCGGCGCTACAGGCTTCCTTTCAGATAGCCAGCATGATGAGCGATGCCTTATGTCTGCGTGGTATGATTCATTCAGAAAGCTGCTACAATGAGAACATGTAATGCTAAGCCTAATTTCATTCCGTCACCGTAATTCCTTCCTTCATTCGTTCGCTCGTAATTACTTCATACAGTATTAAGCACAATACTAACTATGAACTCTAGGTACGGGAAATCTCCTTCATTCATGAATCGATTCGTCGACCGATTGATCGTTGATTCATTCGTGCATCCATTTACCCATCCTCCCACCCTGTTTCCATCACCTGTGTCCTGCACTGGTCCTGGATGTGTTTGAGATGCTGTGAGCAGATCTGGTGGATGATGCCCAGCTCCCTGGCCGGGTCTCCTTTGAGCGGCAGGTCCTCCGGCTCGGGCCGAACCTGCACGTTCTGTGGAGTCAGGGTGGCAAAGTCAGTTGAGACGAGGTGGTGGAGGTAAAACTCGCTCACCACCTACATTGTTTTCGCCCAGAGAGTAACCATGACACCTTTAGTACCAGCCGTGTCGGCGCCGTCAGTACCAGGCATCAGCGTCCCCCCCCTTACTCACCGAGAGGTGGTCCAGGAAGCCGACCATACGCTCGCGGTTTTTGATGATGAACGGGTTGACCACCTCCATGTAGGGCTCTTTGCCGCCAAACTCGACCAAGTTGGCCAGGTTCTGCAGACACTTGGCGACCATGACCAGCGAGCGGGCGCCCTGCAGTGGCGGCGGCTCTGAAAGATACAGACACAACGGTCACGTCGGTGGGGACTGAGCGGGAAGCCGGCAGTCGGAGAGGACAGTAATTGTATGCATTACAGCAGGACAATAAACATACAGCTTATCTATACAGCAGTGCTGCCGATCCGCTCACTCCAATAATTTGCGTCCTTTGCTCGATTTACCACTGCCGCCATAACCTCACAACCCGAACAACAGCGGTGGCGACTCACCACTCTCTCACAACACTCACCAGTGAGCAATCCGAACTGCCGCGGGTTCAGGATGGCCGGACAGATGAGCCGCAGGAACACGAACCCGGAGACGACTCGCGTGCGCACCAGCTTCTCGTTGGGCCACTTGGCGGCCACGCTGCGCTGCAGGCAGCCGCAGATGTAGCGCAGAGTCCTGTAGGATGGGGAGGGTGGAATGTGGATAGTCGTCAGACTCGGGACACCGGTACAGACCACCGCCTTGGCAGGCGCGTGCACTTTATGAACAGTAGACGCACAGAGACGCACCGAGAGAAAACTCGTTGACCAGCACCATGGGTAATCACAATGCAGCACGGAGATTGAACGATACAAAATTTTCCGAAAGACTGCAATCTTCGGTCGGTCCTGGTCCCGAATTCAATCCTTATGAAAAACACCGTTCCTTTTCGTCACTGGCCATGCCACTGTCCTGGAACCCATCAGCTGTCACCATCTCTGTTGTCGTACAATACTTGCCTACCCTGTCACCTTCCGCGGCCGCCGGTGACCATGACCCACCTGGGACAGTCCTCTGCGGACAGGAAGATGGAGTCGGTGATCCTGTCCAGAACCTCCAGCAGGTACTCGGCGTTACTACACGCGTCGTCCTGGTGGTCCATCTTGGACGGGTTCAGCTGGGAGAACAAAGCGAGATGGTGCGTCACATACGGGGTGAATGAGCAACTGGTACGGCTATTTATTAATGTGCAACGGCGAACTGCAGCCGACGTGACTACAACTGGCAGCAGCGGCGGCTTTTAAAGTGTAACCCACTGCCCACAACGCGCTGGAACATCACGCTCACGGGCCACACAATAAGCTTGAAATCTTATCACTAACCGCAATCCTATCCCAAGCATCAAATCAACCAGCTACGCCAGTATCCTCCGACCTCCTCCTCAACACTGCTCTCACCCCATCCCATGGCCTCGCTATTCGTCTCTCACCTCACACGTCTGTTTGGACTCGACGATCTTGTTGACCATGTCGGAGATGGCCACGTGGAGGAAGCCGGTGCAGACCGACTTCATGTAGAGGTCGAGCAGCGCCGTGGTGAGCGTGGCGCCGCGGAACAGCGTCGACTTGTCCTCCTCCGTCTCGATCTCCAGGTCGTTGAGCGTCTGTAGCAGTTCGGCCTCCTTCTTTTCGAACCTGAACAGACGGCGAGGCCAGAGGTCAGGGGTCAGTCAGAGGGACAATATGGCCGGTCAGACGGCTGGTCAAACATTTTGGAGCCGAGAATGGATCACTCGTGCATTTACAATGCTGACGCCAAATAAAACACTAAACTTGCGACGATAATCTTCAAAATGCACTAACCGACTCGAGCCTTCATAACACTCCTGCCAGCACCCCTTACCTCCCGTTCTAGCAGCCTGTCAAGCCACGCCGTAGGCGGCCTGCTGGAACTGACCTGAAGACCTTGAGTACTGAGCACTGAGCAGTGAGCAGGGCGGTTGAGGCAGTAGGAACTGACCTGAACACCTTGAGCAGGGCGGCCGCCAGCGGCAGCCGGTCGACGTGCCGCAGTCCGGCCAGGGCGCGCACCACCTCCAGTTGACCGTCGAGCAGCAGCTCCTTGAGTGACGAGTACTCGTCGCAGGGCATGGCCAGGTCGTGACTGTAGCGCAGCCGCAGCCGCAGCGAGCCCCACTCGCCGATCGGCGTAATGCCCGACAGCTGGTACCAGTTCTCCGTCTGGGCAAACGACAGCGGAGGAGAGTGAACAACTAGACCAATCGTGAGCGAATAACACCCCAAGCGGCAGTCTCTAGTGGATCAAAGTCTGAGAATATAATTATACAGCCATTGATAATAAGAGGCATAGCGATCCATAAAAGCCATAAGCCTCTCAAATGTGGGCGGTTAATTTTATCAGTCTACTCCTCAGCTATATTCTACGAGGCTAGGCACAATGCTAAAGGTATCGTTGCGCGCCCCAACCCATGAATCTTCAATTCTAGCCACGGCTACTTTGCAGCGCTACCACCCCGGTCTCACCTCCTCGCCGCTGGTGAGGTCCTTCAGTTCGACGGTGACCTCGGCCACCTCGCTGTCCTTGGAGCGCTTGCCCTTGTTGTAGATCATGGCGCTGAACGTCAGCACGTCCGGTGGAAGGTCGCTGCGGAACACATCGGACATATACATGATTAGACAATAGATGCGTAGACACGAAGCCTATGAACGGGACATGATGAGTATGACCTACTATCCAACAGGGTAAGCATAAAACAAACGAGACGAGGTTTTCTCAGCTCGTCGTGATGAAAGTGTTCCTGCATTCCAGCACAAACACGTTATGGTCTCGTTAGTTGAGTTCCGTCGTACTACGAAAAAAAAGAAGAAAATATAGCACAACGCATTGTTTCTTTTCGAAGTTAGATACAATGTCACCTAACCGGCCTCATCCTCCCACACCAGCCGCTGACGCCGCCTACCACGTCCACCACCCACCCTACGGGTTTTGGGCGTCCGGACCGCAGGGGCCTACTCACTCTAGAACAAAGTCCTCTCCCCAGACAGGGTCGGGTCCAGTTTTGACCTTGGTGCGCGCCACCTTGACCTGATTGACGGCGATCACACAGAAGGGACTGGGCACCAGCTTCAGCGGCAGCCGGTACGCCTCGAGAACGGTGATCTGCAGACAGCGCAGCTCGCGCAGGTTGGCCACCTTGGGCAGCCGCGCGTTCTGCGGCACGCACAGCGGCTTCAGCGCCGACACCCAGTCCTGCCGGAGGGGGGAAGGGGAGGGTCAGTCCTGCCGAATGCCAGCGTCAGTGTCGTACAGCTTCGATGCATTAATGGTATTAGCGTAATTAACAACGCCGATATCCTTAAATTCTGTCGGAGAACTCTAGAAACCGGGTGAGCGAACAACCGATGGAACATTCGGCGTTTAATACGCCTTCCATTGCGCCCGAGTCCCAGCTCCGACACCCGTAACTGTCTCGGCCTATCTAGAGATTGCAATCTCGGGATCGGGATCCCGGCAGGATTTTAATCCCGATCCCGATCCCGAAATTCCGCCAATACCGGGATCTAGAAAAAAAACGTTTTTCACCACAAAAAGAATGCAGCCGCTGCACGAGTCTTGTTTACACTGTTCATGGTGCTGCGTGACATAAAGCAGAGAAACTATTTAGCTGGCGCCCCGTCTTGGCCGTCCACGGTCGACCGTGTTGGTAGCTCCCGGGTATCACCCACAGCGGATAAGCCGCTTAAATGCGTACGAAAAAGGGTCCCCGAACGCCAAAAACAAAACAAAAATGCAACATAAGTGCTGCAACATCTTTATCAGGATCACGGATCTTTCCGCGATTCTGACTTATTCGTCCGTGGCCGGAACAAAAGAGGCCATCAAGACAGTCTTTGAGCTCGTGTCGCAGAAAGATGTCACATGTCACGCATGCCGCAAGTGACGGCAGAGCTCACTGATTCAAACGTTGAAGACGGTAGAGTGGAGCTCTCCCAGTCAGTGACTCTGCCCTCAAAGCGACTTTGGAGCAAAGTCTGAGAGACATTAGTGATGAAAGCGGAACCGGAAGGAGGTGAAGTGACCAAGCGACGTCTTGAAAACATTGTGAAATAGGGAGCTGCCAAATTTGGCGTACACTGGTCGCGAGTTTTAAAATAGACAGACTTACCAACAATGGCTTAAAACTGCCGCGCCAACTACGAGTAGCGTAGACGAAGAGTGAGTGAGGCGTGGATGTGCTGGAACCCGTCTTAATGACAAGATAGTAAACGCACTGGTCGACGCACAGTTTTATAAAGGCTAATTAGGAATAAATACTAATCAAATAGAAACGTTTCCTTCGCAAATTTAATCGTTTTTAATGCAAATGACATGGTCTAAGGATGGCTTTTGGTTGCCTCTTTGTTTGTGGTAAGCTAAAAGACGCAAAATATGTCAGTAGAAAATCATTCTTACAACCTTTAGCGACAAGACTGGGATCCCGGGATCCCGAAATAAAACTTTTTTCGGGATCCCGGGATTGGCAAAACGTTCCGGGACTGTAATCTCTAGGCCTATCCCCCCCAAAACTCCCCCCTCCCTCACTCGGGTGTGTTCCCACCAGCATCGAGTCCTGGCAGCCAGCGCACAGGTAGGTGACGGTGGCCAGGCATCCGTAATTGTCTCTCCCTATCCCTCCCCACATTCCCCCTCCCCTCAGGTGTGTTCCCACCTGCATCGAGTCCTGGCAGCCGGCGCACAGGTAGGTGACGGTGGCCAGGCACGGCAGCGCCTTCTCGACGATTTGGAAGCAGAAGGACCGGTCGAACAGCGAGTCGTCCACCGGATACACATAGGCACAGCTGAGGTCCATCAGACCCTTGGGCTTCATACGCTGCCAGGCCACACACACGGGGTCAGACCGCCGCCGGCCAACAAACAGTGAAATTTATTTAAAAAAAAACATGTTGATGTAGATCTTATTCGTTTGGTGCAGACACCTAGTAAGATCAGCCACGTTTACAGCCTGATCTTATGGACTGACTTGATCTCAGACAATTTACTGAGTGGTCCTTTACTGCGATAATTTTTCTTAAAACTACTAAAGAGACATTGGTCGCTGTTTTACGGCAATGAGTAACATCGGTGACTTACCTTGGGGTTATCATAAAACAGAAGATGAGTATCGGTGCCCTCCACTTGCAACACAAAGTACATGGTCTTCCACTTCTTATTCTTCTCATTTTTCTTGCTAAGATATCCCTGCATTTTAATACCTGAAGAAAACAAGTACATCAGTAAGGTCACGATCAAACACAGACTCATAAAAATAAACATTTCCATGGTAACCAAATAAATAATGAAATCGTATCATCCCACTCGTGCAAAAGTGGCTGCCGACCTGTGAGCTGACATCCATGAGACGTTCACATCTTCATTCTGTATCTGTCCTTTACCTCCCAAGCAAACACCACGTCCATCTATAAATTACATTTTATGCATTCTTACGCAACTCTGGGCTATAACACCCGTGCTGACCTTTGCTCTTTTTGAGTCCCTGCATCTCCCTGCACTCGCGCAGTGTGGCGTAGATCTCGTCGGCGTGGTGGACGACCCGCGATTGGACGGGGCCGTCCAGCTCCGAGCTGACCTTCTGCGGGTCACATGAGGTCACAGCGGTGTCATACAGGGTTACGACGTCGCACATAGCATCACGAGCCAGTGCACAGGGCTGACATTGCTGGCGATATGGGTGCTTGAGTTACAATCGCAGGGGTTTGGCCGGCTTAGCGGAGCCAATGATGAAGCGCCTTGATAATGACGGGTTAAAGGGCTCGAAACAAAACCGATTATAGGATAAAAGCCAGCTTATTACGGATAGGCAACGGGAAATGCAATAATCGCTTCTAACTAGACGTATCATAACCCGGTGCCTCCCAGCCCTGAGCGATCCCTACCGCTGCGCAAAGCCGCCCTGCTGTGCAGCTGACCGGGGGCAGAGCCACACCAACCGGACGGCCGCCTGCTGACCCCACAATGCCTACTGACCTACGGCGGCCGCTTACTGACCTTGACCGGCTGCGAGAGCGTGTGTCCCTCGACGATCTGCTCGACCTTGTAGCGGTTGATGACCGCCTCCAGACACTCGAACGTCCGGCCGCCCATCACGTACCTGGCGACATAGTGAGGGAGGGTCAGAGTGAATGCAGCCACAGGAAAGGACGTGATGTCAGATTATACTTAAATCATATAAGGTAAAGGAAGAAGCTCAGACGGCGACTTACTGGGCGTGGTAAAATAGTCCATTTAACGCAGCGAAATGCCACGTTTTTTTTTTTGCCGGTAGCACAAGGCTATTGCCGGGAAAATGCTGCCATTTTCTTGGATAAAACGTTAAAACCCGTGCAGTGTTGCATCAGCCATGCCTATGCGTAGGCCACACAGCAGCGCCATGCCGCCATCGACAACGGAATGCTGTCCGTGTGCGGTGTCGGCGCTAATCCGGGCACTCACCGGACGCCGCGTTTCTCTATCCGGAAGCGCTGGATCTGGTTGTTGATGTGGAAGAACAGAGAGTAGTCGCCGGGAGAGTTGTCGCTGGGACGGACCAGGTAGCTGCCCGGACCAGCTGAAAAACGATAGAGTACACACGTCAACGAGGTGGTTGAAGTAGCTGCAACTATACGTTAAATGTTCTAGGTAAGACGCATAAACAATCAGCTGTGCAGCTTACAGTCCGTGTCAAATATTTTTTTACGAAAAAAAAAAAAACACCAGTCATGCAGTCTATATATCCTTACGCAGCGATATGCTTAAAGTGAGCTGATAAGCAAACGGCAGACATCAATTGACCTATGCGCGGTCCATCACTTGACAACATCTGACAATCCGCACGATAACACAAACAGACCACTGTCTGTTTCACAATCATAACACAGACCTCCGAGACAAAAACACGGCACCGAGACAATATACAGCTGTCCTGCTGAGGGGACGAGATTCAAGACCCAACAGAGAGATGCGAATATACTGAACTTTGCCTGCAACCAAATGCGTTCACACAAACTTTTATACATGTGCTGTGATGTGTTTTATACTTTTTTTGACGACATGAACTGAATCGCTCAAACTACCCGATTTATTGTCGCACTTCGTCGAAAGTGCGACAATATCGGCAATATTCCATCGACACTATTCATGAACCATCGACAATATTCATTGATAACTTGTGTCTGTGTGTCCCAAAAACTGTTGGCAACACACATAAAGTCGCTTCAGTCAAAACGTTCCTTTTCACAAAGCGCTTGTACTGACACGTGCCAGAGTCACACAACGAGCCACAGTCCATGGTTTCACGGGCCGGGTGGGCCACCGAGCCCCAGCTCACCTTTGACTAGAAGATCGACGGCCTCGTTTTTAGATACGGTGCCGTGGAACCAGGGGTAGACCGAGTTGGGGTCGACCGTCTCGTCCAGGGTCTCGGTCAGCTCCTGGAAGATGAGGCCCTGCTCGCCGGAGCGGTGTGCCGTCACCCACAGCCAGCCGTCGCCGCAGTCGTTGTGCACGAAGAAGATGTCGCCCTTCTGGAAACTGCGCCGAGAAGGAACGAGGAGAGAAACAAAAGTCAGATGAGGATATGTGAACGAAAATACTTATTGCCTGGTGACATTCACTTGAAGCTGATTGTAAACTCGATGTTTTTTATGTCACTAACAAAAGACCAGAAGCATCGAGTGCAAACGGTGCAATTACGCACCTTGTTGTGAACAGGGCAGGTAAATCAGCTTTCACACATTCCGATCACAGATATCCATATAAAAATAATAAAACTCTGTGAAGGCATGCCAATGTCCGAATACAGCTAGGAATCCTAATTCCTAACAGCATTTATACCTCACCATTGTCATGCGTTGTACACACGTCAACGATCATACTAACGGCGACCGATGGAAAAATCCACCGGTCGACAATCACAACTCGAAACAATGCCGCGCCAGCGGCTGATCCCCGCCCCCTGCGGCACTTAGAGGCGATAAACATCAGGTAAGAACGTCCCAGTATCGCGGTAATCCACCCTCAGCACGGATTACTCAGTCAGCAGCACACCTGGTAGACGGTAAACAAACCTCTTCAACACAGGTCTGCACCAGTACCACTCGGGGTCTCAGTGCTCTGTATGATAACTAAGTCCCAGACCAGCTGCCACGGCGAACAACAACAAGCCATCAACCCAGCCCCTCTGACCAGCTGACCGACTCATGAGGTCTTTTCCCGTTTACCTAACCTCTACTTTACGCACCATTGCAATTCAGCTCATCAAGCGCCAGCCGCCCCCTTAATTCCACCCACCACCGCCCCCTTATCTCTCAAGCTCTTTACCGCAACACCCCTCGGAGTCGGCACCCACCTGAGCTCCTCAGTGTCGGGCATCTTGGTATAGGGCAGCACTGCGACGGCCTTCCTGCGGTCATTGACGGGCTCCGGCGGCGGCACCGGGTGCTCCAGCCGCTCCCGTTTCAGCAGGTCCGAGTACTGCGTGTAGTAGCCGATCAGGTCCGAGAGCGAGGCGAACTGGCGGCCGCCGATGTAAAAGTCGCCGTACACGGCCGTGATCCTGACGCGAGACGGAAAACGTCAACACGTGTGTATGGTCGGGGAAGGCGGGTGATGGGACGCAAATTACATACCATGGGTGTAAAGGACGGTCTAAGATGGTTGCAGCGATAATGAACATCGGGCCACGTTGTGTTGCCCTGTGCCTTGTTGTTAAACACAACCAGCATATAGTAAGAGATATGGTTATATGCTTAACTTTAGTAGTTAAATGCGTGTGTATTAAGAAGTCACGTCTACGAATGAGGATAAATAACCAACAGCCACCTAGCCACATGATTCACGCTATCGTTTATCCGCGGCTGTTGCAGAATTATGCGACATCCGATATCGTCATCTCGGTGCCCCCCACTGCACAAGGTCACTGCGGACCGTTCGGGATACCACGCCATCAGATAACCCCACCCCCGCTAAGAGACAGAGACCGGCGGCGTCTCGGGCCTACTCACCAGCTGCAGCCCCCCCCCCCACTCTCCCCCCGCCAGTCACCCTGCGGGTGTGAGTCAGCGGCAAAAACGGCCGGTTACACCGCCGAACCGGGCCGGCCGACGGCGATAAAACGGCGCCCGCCTCCCGCCGAGTGCCGCCGGCTGGAAGGCCGCGGGCGGTGTCGGACGGCCGTGGTGGGGAGCGCCGAACACTCAGACAGGGCGATTTTGGGGGACATACGAGTAAACATCGACCTGTGAGCCCGAGTCTTTCCGAGTTCTGACCGTGATAAACATCAGAAATAAACTGCCGTAGACTAAAATAAAAACTCATCAAAACAGCACAGGCGCACATTCCTAACGACACAAATACACGTTTCATAAGCGAATAAGTGACCGACTAGCAAACTGGTAAGCGGGCGACAGAACGTGTTAGCCGACGGGCCGTACCGGAAGTGATTGACGCCGGTGCGGCCGAGGAAGGAGAGCACGTAGGAGCCGGGCTTGCGGTCCGACTCGCGGATCAGGTAGGCGCCCGTCTTGCCGAAGTTGCGCAGCCTCTCCTCGGAGCCCTGCCGATCGAGACGGCCGTGGTACCATCTGCCGGGGGAGAGACGAGACGGGCGTCAATCACAGGCGCACAGGGTGTCTGTCTGTAACGGGCGCATGAGGTGTCGGACGGCACTAGACCGGAGCACGAACAGCACGCCGCAGAACAGCACGAGTTATTGGAGGTCAATACGAAGTGGAATAAGTATGGTAAACCGGAAGGGAGGGGAAAAGCACAATACAGGTGTTGCTTGAAGGAAAAGATGACCTGGATGTTAATGAGACCACTCAGTAAGCCTATATGCATACAGAGAACAGCAGGGAATATATTTAGAATAGAGCATTGCCGATAGGAATGCGCAGAGCTCAGCGGTGGTAACACGGTGCCGGAGCGTTACGACACGTGCCGATACCTACATGAGCTACATGAAGGGCAGAAGGACCCATGCAGCGACACAGGGCCGCCAAACTACCATTGGGGACACGAACAACGGGACAATGAAGCACCAGCTGTGCAACATTCCAGTCTGTCACCGGAAATCACATGGACAGATAAATTTATTCCATGGCCGGACAACCGAATCTATGCCGTGACCCGACGTGTGCAGTTACTGTGTGCGATATAATATGCTGATAAATCTGGCGCAATAACTGTTATCTTACCATGACGCTAAACGGACCCTGTTTGAAAACTGTATTCAAGTGTTAATATCCCATAAGTGAAGAGTGAGGACGCGTTTTGAAGTGCCAACAACCGTAAACAAGCAAGAAAACGCATGGAAATTCGTCAATCAAGGCAACTGATTCCCTGTCCTAGCGCAGAGTGCCATGCACGCGACACGCCGGCACTTTAGGCCGGTCCGTGTTTTCCTCGTGCCGACGACTCTTCCCGTTGCCGCCGGTCAGGGGATGACTCATGTGGCCGCCGGCAGGGAAGGATTGGGCAGGGTCCGGAAAGTCGGTCAGGCACCACTGGAAAGGAGCGGATGGACGCACAACAGATAGTGAGGCACAACGTAGGCGGAAGATAACGTCATAGTTCATACTCTACAGTTCTCAGGACGGCAGCCAACGCATTTGTTACCATTATACTAAAAAATAGGTGCTATGTGATACAAACGTTAACCAAAGGAATCTTCCCGAATGCTAGTATTACGCTAACTTTGGCTTCACGACCTTTAAGAAAGTTCAGTTCAGAATCATGGCTGATTCTACACAAAAGGTTTTGTAAATAATGTGCGGTGAAGTGAGTCTAGGAAAAGAAAAGGTATCTAAATATATGTATGATGCAGTCAAATGTTCTCAACGTCGAAACTTTCGTTACGAGCTTGAACACGAGTTACAGACTAAAAAGCTAAACAAATTAATCGTAATACTTTCCTGTGCACTTTTGTTCCAATACATTGAATCGGAAAATTGATAACGCCCCAGCCCACGTAATGCACGCTGGTCGTAAAGGCCCTGGCCTACACTGTCCCAAATGTGAAATTATGTGTTCTACCTAAGTCAAAATTTGTTGACATCAACCAGCTAAGTCTGCTTCCACCAAAGCTTGTGTAATGTGTTCATGCAATCATCCATTTCGATTAAATCTCCAGAACGCGTAAAATGATGCCGCCAAAATTCGGACAGCTTACATTCTTTACACAAATAACCTGAATATCTCGATGCCCTACCAGGACAGGTCAGTCAGGTCATGCCCTGCCTAAATCGGCAGCTTTTGTGATCTGGGCGAGCTTCCTTGCCTTCTAGCATAAGTATGCTTTTGCATTTCAAGTGAGATTATTAGTGTTTATCGATATCCAGGTCCGTGAACAGCGCCCACGAGCAAGGCTGCGGAGTCGATGTTTTTGTAATTCCTACTCCAGCTTCTATGGTCAACTCCGACTTTGAGTCCAGATCCGACTCCGGACATTTCTCTAAGTCGATATCATTATAGTAAAGCTCATGTCCAAGATCCATATTTTTATCTTTCTATCTAGCATCTTTTATCTAGCCTTTTTATTTGAGCTCTCACTCGAAGCTTGCTAATGAAACAAACGTGAAATGCGCGGATGGACGTCTACGCAACTACCGCAAATTTGTGAGAGTGCTCAGTGCTGCGCTGTTCATTGCGATTAAATGTGCGAATGTGACAGAAATTCCAGCGTTTTCACTGTGGCTGGCATAATATATGTGATTGGGCGGAGGAACCTCTGTCTGACGGTGGACCTCGGTTCGGTCGGGCCCCTCCCGACCGCTCGACCCTTACCCTTTATCGAGATAGAGCCTTGCAGAAAAATAGAGCATTGCTGCTCCGTGACGAGAGGAAGCAAATGCTAACCGATCTTGAGATCTTACGATTGAGCATTGTAGATGGCTGATCTCCCAGGTCAGGTCAATGACCTATTTCATATGTCAGGAAAATCAGGACCTGCTCAATCTTCTTGGGGGTGGAGCAGATGAGTCTTTTCTTCTATGGAGTATTTTGGGGTCTTGATTCTGATTTTCACACTAGTTTTGTTTGATAACGCATATGTGCATTTGGGATGGGCTGGGTGCTAGTGACTGGTCACTTCAGGTAAACCAGCATTTGTCCCACTAGTTATTCTCAGCAATATTTCTTATTTACCACCAATGATGCATTTACCAGTCAACCAAGGTCATCAAGTAACAGCCTAGTCTGAGTTCGTCAGGCACATTGGAACCCTACCCCCACTATAAGTGTGATGGTTAGGTACCTACCTAATCTATGAAAGACACTGCTGACTTTAATCGCTGACTGACTTTGCTCAACATCACTTTCAACATCACTGGCTGTCACTAGCTGAGACTTTCTATGCCGTCTAGTCTTGTATGATGTTCAATATCATGCTTGTGCGGGGCATGTAAGCTTGAACTTGAAACGTCAGTCGGGGAAACTATGGTAAAATCTGCTATTTTTAGCAGTCTGCTATTTTTAGCAGAAATCTGCTAAAAATGGGTACGCATGTGACGTCATCGTACCCAAATATAGCAGATTTGGGTACGGCCCCATACAAAAGCAGATCTGCACCCTAATTGAAGCAAATGCGCATCAAATGCCTGGCAGATTCATGATGAGAATAGTGCTGAGAATGTCCTCTGATATTTTTGTTCAGATCCGACTATTTTCAAATAATGAATTTGAAAATAGTCGGATCTGAACAAAAATAGCAGAGATCACTCTCAGCACTATTCTCATTATGAATCTGCCAGGCATTTGATGCGCATTTGCTTCAATTAGGGTGCAGATCTGCTTTTGTATGGGGCCGTACCCAAATCTGCTATATTTGGGTACGATGACGTCACATGCGTACCCATTTTTAGCAGATTTCTGCTAAAAATAGCAGACTGCTAAAAATAGCAGATTTTACCATAGCTTCCCCGACTGACGTTGCATGCCATCTGAGGCGTGCACTCAGTAGTCAGTCTCAGTCCCCCAGCAAACTTGGCGCACCTGGTGCGTGCACATGACATGCTTTGCAGTATGGGGTGAGGTTTATGAATTTGCAAACACAAATGCAAATAAACTGATCCAAACGATCACAAGGCAAGATCTAAATCGTAGATGCAAAGCATCTTTGCTTATTGCTCAGGCCAATATTGAAATAACATAAGAATAAATATGAAAAATGAAGTACTTACTCTTTTTCTGGTGGAGGCTCGTATGTAGGATCTTCATCGACATCTACATTATTCTGATCTTGAAATGGATCAAATTCGTCCACGACAGGCTCGGTGGGATCAATATCCACGCTTGTTACATGATGACCGGCCGACCGATGTCTTCCTGTTCCAGGTCTGGCGGAAGCCATGAGCTGTACTTGTATAATGTATCTATGGCTTCAGCTGAATTAAAATACAAAGACACAACTACGTTCCAGCCCCGCCCCGGCTTTCAAAACTCTTCGGCGAGCAACAAGAGACACTCCGCCCAGCTGAGGGAAATGTTTATAAAGAAACTGTCGACAATTCTAACGCACATATGTCGATAATTTCTCTAAAGGAATTACTTTACTCATTTTTAACGTTATAATTAACTTAAGACATCTTAAATGTATTAGGCAATGAATTAAAAAATGGTCAAGGAATAAGTAAGAGGAAATGAGAATAAATTGATCTTTCAAGAAAAATTTTAACAGTTGATATCAAGTAAGATACAAGTAAGTTATACTTTCAAAGTAAAGTGGAAGGTCGTTAAAGAAAAACTGCTTCCATATATCGTAGTAGGACTACCAAATCAAAATAGCAAAGCTTTGAGACGTTTTGCAGGGCATATTGCGAATGAGTTTGTGAGTTCATTGTGTTTATTGGATAAACAGCTACAAATATTGAAAAAACGTCCGGGGTCGTACGTCCCTGATCTGTCCATTTGGTCTTCGCCACCCTCTTGTTATCTGCTAGTCAATTTTGCCGCAATTAATACATAACATTGTGCATGTCCATAAAAAAGCAGCAATTCTCCAGCTGTCTATTTAAAAAAAAATCAGTATAAAATCGAAAATGATCTAGATTTAGCACAGCAAATCAGAGGCCAGTTTTACCAACAGAAAAATAGCCGCCTGCCGGAACCTTTTGCCTAAAAGACTGCTTCGCATACAGCACGTGAACAGTAAAGCCCTATCCGCTCCCGACTGGAAAAAATGCACGCTTTCGTCGAGAACTCGAGCGTAGTTGGGCGTTTGCGCCGAAAATTTTCGGCGTACTTCGGCGTAAATCGACGGCTTGCGCCGAAAGTTTCGGCGTACTTCGGCGTAAATCGCGAAAAAACCGTCAGGGGGTGGCACCAACCCCCCCTCGGCCGGCGAGGATTAAATGTCTTCGGGAGTTAAACATCTTAAATATCACTTATCTTGTCTCGTGTTCGTCTCAGGGTATTTAAGTCATGTTCAGTGAACCTGATTGTGACTCTCCCACGGCGGGAACAGTTCACCGGTCGAGAGTGAGGTTATGGATTGTCGGATTCCCTAGTTCAGATAACGTATGCTATCGTGTGCGTATTGACCGTTGTGATTCCTGTACTTCCGGCGTGTGGTTTGCGAGCGGACGCTGGCAATCGGTCCCGCGTGGCCTGGTATCTGCCCGATCCCATCGGCCGTGCTTGCACCACGCCTGTTGAAGGCCCCGTCAGGCGTCAGTCACCGGTTGGGCACTACTGCTGATCAGAGCCGGGCAACAAAATAAAGGTTACATTATGGAACATGCCAGTGAGTTTGTGAGTCAGGAGATTATGTGATAGCGAACGCTGGTGCTCGGTCCCGCATGGCCTGCTGATGTCTATTGTCCGCCCGATCCCGTCGACCGTGCCAACAACCGTCTGTAGACAGTAGTCACTGGAAGACAGCCACACACACACGCCAGCCCCCCCTCGACGAAAAGTGCGTGGCTACAGCCTACAGTCATCAGTAAGCCTTGAAAATTTTCGGCGCATGAAGCATGGCTTGGTAAAATAATTTCGGCGCATAAACCCTTGCGCCGAAATTTCGGCGCATCACCTCCGCCGAGAACTTCAGCGTAGTGGAGGCATTTTTCCAGTCGGGTATCCGCTTAGGTACTGGCATGTGCCCATCGCGTTTATGCTCAGCATGTGAAGCAGTCTTGAGGCAAAAAATTCTGGCAGGTGGCTATTTTTCTGTTGGTAAAACTGGCATCAGATCAAGATTTCCTGTCCTGTTTCCAAGCACTTGCTTCAAAATGACCTAAACACAAATAACCTCCACATCATGACCTAATATCCCAATAGTGTGGTTACCTGCTTAAAAAAAGCAAGTTCTGATTTCCTTACTTTCCATAGATATTTATCTCAATCTTCAAGCACTTGCAAATCAGGGAAATTGTTTTATACCTGCCTAATGTTTGTTTGATTTGTGTTGCATTGAAAACTTCACAGAAAGGAATACCTAGCATTACATCCAGGGAAGGGAGGAAGATGGGATGATTGTCTTGATCTCACTTCTACTTTTTCAGATATGTACCAGCATGGAGCCTGCCCAAAGTTGTACTGTATGTAGCAGTGAAAGGCCAAAGTACAGATGTCCAATCTGCAGACTGATGTAGTAAGTAGCTCAATGATTTAGTGTAATATTAATAGCACTACTTGTTCTCTCCATGTTCAATGATGGTAGGCATTTCAAGAAAAGTGAGAACTTGCAAGTTAAACATTATTCCTTCTTCAACCAGCAATTCAATAATCTTCAATTGTCAACCACAAATTATGTCCTGCATGTCTATGTTGAATAGCTCACAAACTGTACACTAATGTTTTTTTTACTTATCACCAAACTGCACTGAACCAGTGTACTTTTCAATTTCAGCTGCTGCTCCAGCTGCTGTCAGGCCCACAAGTTGGCGTGTGTGGCTCCAGAGGCTGCCAAGAGCGGCCAGCCAGCCGAGAAGAGGGAGCAGCGTGTGCTCTGGGATGAGTCCTCGGACCAGGTGGTCTCTGCACAGGCTCTCAGCTGGCTCAGTGAGTCTGCCACGCCGGCTGGTGCCGTAACCCGGCGTAGCTGTAAAATTGAGCCACGTCAGTGCTGTGTTAGTTGTCTCCAATCTCACCATCGTTTCACATCAGCAGTACGACTTTCGATCGCCCCACTTCAAGCCCCGATTTTCACCTGACGCCCGTCCCCTCCCCCGCAGGCGAGTCGCGGCGGCTGCGGCAGCTACTGAACAACCCTCACCTGCGGGAGCTGGTCCAACAGGCGGATACCACGCCGCACCCCGACGACGACCTGCGCCGGCTCATGGTCGAGCCGCTGTTTGTCGAGTTCGCCGACGAGTGTCTGCGTGTTGTAGAGGGTCGGCCCGAACCCATGGAGGAGAGCGACTGACAGAACGGTGTGAGTGGAGATGGAAGGGACGGGTACGATCTGACGGCGCGAAGACGAGCATCAGGTACGATGACGGGTTATGATATGGTTGTGGGGACTTCCAGTCTTAAGATGTGTCAAAACCGTCGAATACATTGAACTCTTTGTCGAAATGTGTTGATAGATGAGTGGTGATGTAGCACGGGGTAGATGTAGCACGGGGTAGTTGACGCAAAATGTTAGCTTAGAAACTACCTACTCAATATTTCCCAATAGTATATTACCAAGCTCAAGGTCTGGACCATATCAAATATAAATAACAGTCATCACAGCACACTGGTAACCTGCATATACGTCTCTGCGCACTTATCAACATCTGAACTTGAGAACTGGGTCATATCACATGCAGGGAGCCTGAGGCTTTGTACTGTGCGTGTGCGAGGCACGTTTGATCACGGGACGGCATGGCGCGGGTCGTCGTCAGGAGACCATCCTGTGCAGCTCCTCCAGGGTGTGCAGGAAGCCGGACAGCTGCTCCAGACCCTTTCCGAGCAGCAGTCTGAAACGCGCCGGTGCCGCCGGGTCAGTCTGCCGTCCGAACGTCACCGGGAAACGCGGCCAATTCTCGATACACCGACTTAGTGCCCGGTAAAAACACCCGGCACACTAAAAACACCACTATTCGGTGCCCCGCCTCCGCTCATTAGCCAGCGTACTGTCCATAATCGGTAGATACACGGCATAATATATGAATCGAACACCGCTCAGGCGCCTTCTTTGAGGCATTAATGCCGAATATAATACCGTCGCTCTACATGAATGGCATGAGCAACGTGAAACCGTAAACTGGACCCAGCAAGTCTCGAGTGGCACCTGCACCCCATTGCGACCCTTTCCCGAGGCCGGTGGCCAGTACCTGTTGGCGGGTGAGCGGAGGAACCGGAGTAGATTCAGAGGCGCCAGGGTGACCTCGTGGCCGGCGAGGGCCACCAGGGCACCCAACGCGTCACACGCGGCCACCAGTGGTGCGTGGTCAGATGTGAGGGCCACCACCGAGACCGACATCAGCCTGGGGACAGGGCAGGTCAGGGGTCAGATGGGACAGGTCACAACGACTGATGCAACCATCAGTCTGGAGACACGAGTCAAGCTTGTCGTGTTGTAAGACATGTTGACACGTAAAAGGGTCGCTACACAAATAGCCAGTCATGTCCTGGCCACACCGATAACTCAAACGGCAGATGTGAAAGGCAACAGACACCTACTGAACACCATTTCTCACCGTTTGAGCGCACCGTTGAGGTTTTGTACCGCAGTGCCCAGCTCTGGGAGGAACGCGGCGCACTGTTCTGGGCTGGGCGGTACCGACGGCCGCTCGTACTCGTACTGATGGGGTACTCCGGCGGCATCCAGCAGCAGGCCGCTGTCGGGGGGGGGGGGGGGGAATATCAGTCAACAGAGCGGTCCAGCAGCGCCCGTCTCGAACCCGTCACTCGTTAGCTGCAGCGCTTACTACGCGAAATCTAACCAACGACCAGGCGCGTCTTCCCAGCTGAGACTGATGAGACCAATGTTACTCTGATGCGACTAAAGCCTGGACTTCACCCTGAATGAAGAAACCAAATTTGATGTTTGTTTTGGGTTATTATCAGCACTAAGTCATGTCTTCAACGAGTCATCGAGTCCATGTCCTCATTAACACACGCACTGCAGCGGGTCTGAGCCGAACACGAACTGCAGGGGGGGGGGGGGGTTGAAAACAACCCCCCCCCCCCCTGAGATCTCGAAAACGGCGCAACGTAGCGACAAACGGTAAACGGCGTTAGATAGGTGGAGATGTTATTTAGAGGAAATACTAGGTCATTTTTGTCTCAGGTCAAAAACGAGGTCACCAGAGGTCACCGAAGACAAAATGTTACGATTTTCACAACAGGAATTTCGCGGTAGTTTTTCTTGAATAACTTGTCTTGCACACAAGACAGAGGATCGATTCGAACGCCATCGTTCTTAGCTCGTCAAGGCGCATCGAATGATATATAATATGACCTCGAAAGGTCAAGTTGAAAATTTGACCTCAGGTCAAGGTCATGACCTGACCGAAATAGGTCCTGTTGCATATCATTCGATCCGCATTGACGAGAAAAACACGATAAACGTCGAACGGAGTCTCTATCTCTATTCAATCTCAAGTTATTGAAGAAAAACCGCTGGTTCAAGTTCAAGTTCAAGTTCAAGTTCAATGTATTTCGAATCATTCCATTGCATGGTTTAGTATTTGATTCGATCACACACACAAAAGACATGGTACACCTAGCCCGTCCCCCCCCCCACACACACGTACACGCACACATGCACAAACACTGCCGCAGTAGACTGATGAGTGCAGAGCAGCCAGCGCGTCACAATTTTCACGGATATGACAGAAGGCAAAAGCGCTAGGCAGCAAGGTGGCGAAGAAACTCAGCGTGTGTTCCAGAGCTAGTGGTGGTGGGTGGGAGGTGGTTCCAGGAGGTTGCCGCTCGGTAGGAAAAAGCTCGTCTCGACATTGATAAGCGATAATTTGGTAACTCTAATGCACCCGACAGCGTGGAGCGTGTGGCGCGCGCAGACACAGCCGCCCGTGTTGTGAACAAAGTGCGTAATGCCGCGGGAGCGAGCGGGTCCTTCAGCGCTCTGAAAACACGAATGTTGTCGCGATAGGTGACTAAATCCGTGATTTTGGGCCAGCCCAGTGCAGACAACACGGGGGAAATGTGATCACGGTGTTTCGCCCCAGATACGATTCTAGCTGCGAAATTAATGACTTTCTGCACCCGCTTGAGGTGA